TTAATAGCTAGACATTGCAAAATTCAATAATACTCAAAAGCTGGAACAATATTAGCAGTTTTGACAATGTCTCAGTTATATAAATTTTAAGTTAACGATGTGAGCAAATTTGCCTTAAGGTCTGGGTTTGTTTCACCTTAAGGTACTAATTAAAGCATACTTGTATTTGCCAGATATGAAGGCTTATATACATCTGTTTCAAACAGAAAAAGATCATTTCTAATCAAGCTTTGATTCTCCCCCCTCTCCATAGGAATTTGAATTTCTTATAGAATGTTAAATCCTGGAAGATATTAGAGATATTAATATAGAGATATTAGAGATGGCTGAGGTTTGGCAGAGAAATGCTTCATTTGTTGTGTATGTGTATGGTATTTTTCCTTTTAGCAGCAGTTTGTGCAGACAACTTCAGCATTTTGGGAACCCCATTTCTTTGTAACTGGTTCCTACATGAAGCTAAACCATAATGAGGTGTTTTTTTTGTTTGTTTTTTTGGTTTAGAGAGTTATATAGACCAAGCCATAAAGATTTGTAAATCGTGGTTTACACCTTTGCACAATTCACATGAATTGCTTCTAATTTGGAGTTAATTAAAATGTGATTAAAGATTGTGACTTAATATGATATGTGACTAGCTCATATACTACTTTACAGGTCTACAGCCAGCTTGCAGAAGATGATAAGATTCGCTATGAAAATGAAATGAGATCATGGGAACAGCAAATGAAAGCAAGTGGGCATGGGGATATTCTAAATTATAAATTCACAGTGACACGAAAACGAAAAAACCCTGTAACAGAACCTTTAAGCTGAAAATAAAGATTTGGAAAGCAATATTGTTTCATCAGCAACAAAGAAAACGGGTGCAAGAGTAAACCATCTGAGGAATAAGTTTAAAAATGTCTTATTCATTATTTTTGACTGCAAGTGAAAGCATTTGTCATTGAGGGTTATTCCTCATAAATACAAGTTACTTTTTTGTAAACAGTCAAACATAATCAAGTTTGTGGAAATTTAAGTGATCAATAATCATGAGAAAGGTGGTATTTTTTTTCCAAAAATGTCTAAATAACCACTGGACATAGACTTTTTTTTAATTAAAAGACCTTGAAGTACAAACTTGTGTCCTGTGATTTATAGGAATTTAATTGACATATTTGTTGCAGTGAAATATTGCAGTAATTTAGTGGGAGAATAATATATGCTGTTAGTGGAAAAAGCATATATATTACAAATTTCAATCATGTAATTAAACCATTGCTCCACAAATTTTAAATAATATTTTGAAGATACATTTTAATGTTATCTACTAATGGCACATATGAATATACACAGTGCTTTTTTTCTTAAAAAAAAAAAAAAAAGTGCCGGAATTCACACATGTCATACAACCCACCTTGCCTACCCTATAAGGTTCCATCCAAAAAAGGTGCCGGAACTCCGTTCTGGGCGTTCTATGAGAAAAAAAGCCCTGAATATGCACATAAAAACAATTACAAAATACTATAACAAGCTTTATGCAAAATATATTAATATTATTGTTCAGATCTGATAGAGGGATTAGTACTGCCAATAGCTTGTGTCATCAGAATGAGTCCTAATATACTTCTTCCACTCCAGAAGTTTGGAGATGTCACAACAGATTTGAGATTTGGTCTGGTGGGCAGGGAGAGAAATTACAATGAATAGAATGAAGAAACGTGCAATTTGAATGTTGCCCTTAGGCCTCTACCCAACTAGGTGGCAACAGTCCTTGTCTACAGCACTAAAAATGTTGCAGCCCTTGTTTGAGGAGTTTGAAAGCTGGGATGAAACCCTTCTACCTCCTGTGACAGGGGAAATAATGCAATAGTGAACTGGGGGAAAATTTCCAGTAAAATAAATATCTTGGAAAGAAAATTAGTAAAAAGTTTCATACCAGTGATATCTGGTGTATCAAGAAACCTGTATATTTTAATATTTACTTTATAATGAAGAACTATGGCTTTCAGCATTAATATATACACTAGTGGGCAGTAAATATTTGTACATGGTCAAACTAGCAATTATCAATGATAGCAGAAATACTCCAGGCTGCCCACGTAGAGTTTGAGAGAGAACTAGAATTATGTTGCATCATTATACAATCTTTGCTATGGAAAACTAGGATACAGAAACTCACTGGGCCCTCCCCCATATGATTCTGTTATTATCTTGGGGGAGGGTGAATTAACTTCTGGTAGCTAATGGCAGTTAATTGATTGCTTTCTCACTTTTAAAACTAGATTTGCCTGTTCCATAATTCAGTTTTGAAAACCAAGGTATTCTTGCTTTCCCTGGTCATTGATACTATCTGCTGCATTTGCTACTGTAATGATTTTTCATTCTTGTTTTTATTTTTGTATTCCAGTTTGTAATTCTTAGATGAGAAACAGTATTCAAGCATGGTGACTTAGCAAAAAATAAATGTATTAAGATAAAGGACTGGGCATGTAATAATAAAATACCTAGATTGATCAGCAGACAATCTAATAAATATAATCTAGATGGCTAGTGAACATTTTTTTTGCACAAACAAGGGTTTCATAAATATGCCATACATTGTTTCAAGAAATATATAGTATATTTCATTGTGTCTGGGTTTTTTTTCAAAGGAGAAAAACATTTTTTATGCTTTAAGAAGGTAATGTTGGCAAATGTGGTATGAGGTAGTCTAACTGGTGTGGTGGTGTTTCAGACTTTATTATTTCAATGGCTTTATTAACTATATTGCACAAAAAAAGTTATACTCTAAACCAGTGTTTCTCATACTTACACTAGTGGCCAAAATTGTGGAAACCTTTTGGGAAAACTGTATTTTGGAGGTTCGATGGCTAATAACACCACTTTTTGGGAGTAGTACCATAAAATTATATATCAATGGAAAGATAATTTAATCAAGAATGTAATGCAACATAGTTTGTTCAATTATTCTATGAAAAGTTATAGCCAAATAACCAGAAAAAGGAAGCACAACTTGCTTAGGTTTATATCAGGTAGCTTTCCTTCATCTGATTGTAGCCAATGAGCATGAGTGTGTAGAGAGCCAATCAGGTGTCATCTTGTTTTGGCAATGAGCCAATCAGATCACAGTAGGATTCAGTTATTGATGTCATGTATTGAAGCTGAGAGGAGGACATTTATGTGATCGCTATCATGTTGGTTGGGGTTTTTTTTTCTTTCATTTAGTGAGCTTGTAAAACGTAATAAAATTAAAGTAATGGTGCAAAGAGTTGACTGGTTGCCCAGAAAGCGATGTAAAATAGTATTATTAAGTGAACAAGGCTACAGTTATAAAGAAATTAGAAGAAAAATTGGTGGAAACTTAACCAAGGATGGCATTTCTACTATACGCTTTTCCCAAAAGATTTCCACAATTTTGGCCACTACTGTAGCAATTTTAAGATGTTTGGCAACTTTTAAGATAGGAACTGGGGAATTCTGGGAGTTCAAGATCACAACTGCTAAGTGTGAGAAACACTGTTCTAAACTGCTTTGCTAGGCTCAGCAGTTAGAGTTACCGAGAGACTGAAATCCAGGTTCAAAGTTGATGGCTGCAGCCCTAGCCCTCTTCAGACAAACTTTTGCTTGGATTCAGAGTCACTGATTTCCCTACGCTGCTGCTCTGAATGAAGATCGTTGAACCTTCTTACCAGATTCTAAATCTTATTTTGTACTGTAAACACCTCAGGGACATTTCCAGAAAAATTATTACAGGTAGTCTTTGACTTACAACCACAATTGAACCTAAAATTTCTGTTGCTAAGCAAGGGAATTGTTACGTGAATTTTGCCACAGATGTTAAGTGAATCACTGCCGTTATTAAGTTAGTAAAAGAGTTATTAAATGAATTTGGCTTCCCCATCGACTGCTTATCAGAAGGACACAAAAGGTGATCACGTGACCACAGGACACTGCAATAATCAAATTTTAGTGAGGTGCCAAGCATCTGAATTTTGTTCACATGATCACAGGGATGCTGCAACAGTTATAAGTGTCATAAGTCATTTTTTTCAATTGTAACTGAACGAACACTAAATGAACTGTTGTAACTCGGGGACTACCTGTACTGAATATTTTTACTTAGGAAATAACTTAAGCTGTGGTGAATAAAGCACCAGCAGGGCTTCCTGGACAGCCCCAGGTTGGAAAAAAACAAAGCTGAAATAAACTGCCTAGCAGCTAGGGTGAGCAAACTTTCCCTTTTAGCTCTCCTCCAGTGACTATCCGGCTTTTTCCAAGCAAACTTGTCTGGCAGCCCTAAACCAGGACAATCACAGTAAGTGCGACCTACCCATCCTTCACATTAATTGCTCAGAAAGCAGAGCAATCCTAATCAACTGAGTACAAGTAGTCCTGAACTTACAACAGTTCATTTAGTGACCATTCAAAGTTACAATGGCACTGAAAAAAGTGACTTATAACCCTTTTCACAGTTACAACCTTTTGCACCACCCCCATGATTCTGTGATCAAAATTCAGACACGTGGCAACTGTCATATTTATGATAGTTGCAGTGTCCTGGGGTCATTTGATCCCCTTTTGCAAACTTCTGATAAACGAAGTCAATGGGGAAGCCAGATTCACATAGCAACCAGGTTACTAACTTATCAACTGCAGTGATTCAATTAACTGTGGCAAGAAAGGTCGTAAAATGGGGCAAAACCCACTTAATAAATGTCTCGACAACAGAAGTTTTGGGCTCAATTGTGGTTGCAAGTCAAGGACTACCTGTAGCTGACGCGTGCCTCTACACATTCCTATCTCTACGGTTCACGCTCCCGGTCCTTTGATTTCCTTGACTCCCTTTGTTTGCGACATCTACTGACGCGCGCCGTAAAGTAAAAGGGGAGGGGCACGAGTGGCGGGAAAGCCGGGCGCGCGCGCTGCCGAGCGGGGAGGTGGGAGAAGCAGCGGGGTCGCAATCGCGAGTGCGCGCCCGTGAGTCCAGGGCGGTTTCGCGGGAGGAAGAAAAAAAAAAAAAAAAGATGGGTTTGCTCGAACTGTGCCGGGAGGCCTTCGGTGCGGGCGACCTGTACCAGGTGCTGGGCGTGAGGCGTGAGGCGTCGGCCAATGAACTCCGCCGTGGCTACCACAGGGTCTCGCTCCGGGTGCATCCCGACCGCGCTGACCCGGCTGATAAGGAGCGCGCCACCCGGCATTTCCAGGT